TCACTTGCTGAAAGAGCCATAACACCAATCTCAGAGGTAACCCTCTACAATGGTGCGCACAGTTGAGCCACATGGAATGCCGGTGCAATTATTTTTCTCCGGGTTTGCCAACCATGGAACTCTCTCTTAAACTGCATTGTTTCCTCCCTGAGGTTGGATATTTTCAAAATAGATTGGATCTTGCCCTTGGGCCCCATCACTTCGTTGCCCAAACTGTGCAACTCTGGAATATATTAAGTATCCCTCCAAAAGGGATTAGCTTGTTACAGGAACCTGAGGATGCGGGACAGACGTGAGTATTCTCGTTTTAACTTCTTACTTTTCTCACGGAGTACAACAACTTTAATCTCGTCACTCGCATTCAATTCCCACTTCCACTACTATTATTCAGCAGCGTACCTGCTAGATAAACTCTCAAACAGACAAACCTCTTTGGATAATTACAGTTTTACCCTCATCAATCTGCGAGACACTTCAAGCAAGGGCTTTTTTACCCGACATAAACCATTATTCATTGTTCTTTGAATGCGACGTTAGCTGAATTAGTATCGGGATTCAAATGAAGTTGCTTGGATGAATGGCACGTTTATGCTTTGTATAAACGAGTCACCATCATCCGTATAGAACCAAATTATCACCGAGTGATCTTTCCTCCTAGTACTCGTAAAGGTAATGGAAGCGACCGTATCTCACGCATGGCCGGGCTATTTAATCAGATCCAGAGCAACACAAATGCCGCCATCCCAGGATAAATATTACTAATCTGCTGATTGTAAGGGGCAATTGGACCGGAACAGTCGATAGTGGCATCGGCAACGGTCTAATGTATTTAGATTTTTTCAAGGACTTCGACGGCGTGGAACACTGCATCGTTCCCATAAGTTGCACACCCACGGAATTGGGAACCCTGTTATTGGATGGAGCAGAATTATTCTTCAGCCGCTCATGCAACTTTGGATTCAGAGCTCATTATCTGATCCAAGTAACGTCGAATGCGGTGTACCACAAGGGTGCATGCTGCGGCTACAGTTATTCATGGTCTCCATTATCAACCTGTCTTGTTTCATCGAATTAAATTTCCTGTTTTTCGCTGGTAATACAAAGACGCGGTGGGCGATGGTTTATCCTAATGGAGCAATGAATTAGTGGTTTTCCACGGGTATAAATGTAAGTCTTTGATAGGCCCCCTAGGATAGTTAGGATGAAAATTGGAAGATAAAATCAGTGTCAGTCAAAGAACCTGCGAGATACATGACTCAGCATGGGGTTTGCATTAGCACAAGTGTGAGTATTCCTGCCTGGAGTTTATAAGAACTGTGACACCGTCCAATGTTTGTTCAGGATTTCACAACAACTACATGAACCAAAGCAGTGAAACTTGGATTATGCTTCCAAATAGTCAAAAACGAGTCTATTTTCGTTTAACTTAGCTGGATGCAAAGTGCTTTATTTGCATCAACGGGCAGATGACACATAAACATTACAGAACCGCATTTTGCACGCTGATTCAAAGGAGAGGATCAGGATGGCAACTGATCGACACAAGCTGCGAAAGTGTCAAAAACCGAAAACTAGCATTTTATATACGGTCCTATTGATCGGAATGACCGAAGTCTACTTCATAGGGAGGCGAGGTCTCAATGGGGATTACGTGTCGTAATCCAACCATAAGGCGGGTAGCCGAAGTCTAACTTTGAACACTGGTCTCTTAAGGAGAGGGTTCCGACGGTACGACCATTCCACCTTCCCAATTATGCCCAACGTGTACATAAGACTCCAGGTGGAGTACACAACTCTGGCCTCGCAAAATTGATGGAAACGCAACGTGGTTGCACTGGAGACTGCGCAACAAAAGGCAACTAAATATCTAAAGGGATTGTTTGGTCTCACATACCAAGTGTGCTAGAAAGACCTAGGTCGATGCAGGTGAAGGTACGGTCACATTCGTGGTAATCTCATCCTGACCCACCAGCTTTTGATGAGTCCTAGTTACATCTGTGATCACCTGCGACAACCATAACATCCAACTAAGGAGCAATTAGCTGAAGATGGCTGCGAAATACAACCGGTTAGGGTGCCGCATTAATTGTCACTCCCCCCTTGGAATTCGCCAACCGTGAAATCCTCTTCAGACTTAAGTCACTTCCGCGCCCGCGACATCCACTTACACCATTAGCAGTACGCGTCCTTAACCCAAACGCATCGGTTGATGACAAACGCAAACAAAATATGTGCTCATCAGCAACCCCTTCCACGCAAAAGAGGTAAACAGCTTTCCAAATATGTTTTGGAATATAATGGTAATAAAAATAATAATACTTGCAGTTTACATTGTTGGCAAGCTTTTCTCTTTGATCTTACGTGTTTCACATCAACCATCCAAAATACCGATATTGTACTATCAAACTTCTTGGATTCCCGAGCACTCGGTGTGTAATTGCAAGCTACTCATGTGGTGCAACCATGACCACCAACTTACGCGATTTGCAAAAGGAGACGAACCGGAAATAGTGTACTACGGGATCCCCAGTGACGAACCCATTGTCTACGCAACAATATTGAGCCTTCATTTGGATCTCAGTCGCCAGAAAACACTATCGATTCGTTACGAATGGTGTACAGAACAGCCAAACGAAGGCACAGAATGGTTACATGCCTTAATCCATTAAGATAAGCTCTATGATATTATTAATGTAACTAAATGGTCCTTGCTACTTGTATGGTTCTCTTAGGTTGCTTTGAACGTGCTAATCAGCCTATGCGACTAGCTTTTTGTGAGAAAACCAGATGTCTAATTGTGTAGCCCAGAAAAGATCAAGCCCTTGCTAAAGAACAGGACTGGGAACCGTTAGACCTAGAGCCTCTCAGCTTGGTGCGCCCACTTGAACTCTTTGGACAAGGACCCGTGGTGAGCCTAGGCAGCACAAACAGCCATTGATTCAAACTGATCGCTAAGAGTCTCATAAAGCTCAGACAAGACCTTGCGACACTTCCTTACTCTAACTCAAGTCACGTTGCGGGAGCCTAAACAAAGTCCGTAGAATGTGACGCGGAACTCCTTCTCTAACACACATAATATCATCTATTGCAAACAGCACTGGCAGCCGTCAGCGTTGTTGGACAAAGACTCAACATTTACTTCCGGAATGCACGGTCACCCAGCATCCTTCAAATGCAGAGAATATTGCCACGAGAATCTAACCAAGTATCGTTTGCTATCATTGTTTGTATGAAGCCACTGCAGTTATGGTGCGAACAAGGCTAGGGACTTTAAAGCTTGCTACAAAGAGTCTGATTGAGCCATTAGTCAGGTTTATGCAATGATGCCTCGATGAGACAAAGTTTTCCACAATGTGGAAGCATGGGATCATCACTCAAATTTACAAGATAGGCAAGTTTACATAAAGCGCCAAATACCACGAGACAACATTTATTCCAGTGATCTCCAAAATCCTGTTGTCTTTTATCTCTGAGGCAGCGAAACGCTTACTTCGCCGCAAAGTGAATTTTGTGAGAGTTGGTCAAGCATCTTCAATCTACTGGTAGTTTATGCATGTTGGATGAAAGCTGTCGATACTGCGTTAGGTGTTTATACTGTCAACAGCGACTTCAGAAACGGGTTGGTGCACAAGCTTCTTTTCGGTAGATATTATAAGCCTCATACACCACCTTCATGAGCGACCATTAAATTTAAATTGGCCGCCTAGTACAACCAATTGAAAGGTCGACGAAACCCTTTCTCCCTCTTAGTCTAGTAGCCGTATATGCCCTCCCAGCGCAAATTATCACTGCATCCAAGACAAAACAATTGAATAGGCAACTTGACACAATAGTACATTTTAATGTCTAATACGGCAATACCCATTGGATGACGACACAAGCACAAAGTATGCTCGGCTGATGATTTTCGTTCAGTTAACGCACTATATTACACAATGCATCAAATAAATGTAGTATATTGGACATCATCATCATCATCAATACACGTTAGCTAGAGGTGGGGAACACCTCAGCTACTGTGCCGCAGTACACAAAAAAAAGAGAGAAAAAAACAAATTCAACTGGGGCAAGCCCGCTGAGCTACCTGGTAACGGATGGGCATCGTTCCGGTAAGCTACCAGCCGGCTGCTGTGCACCCAAAAAAATTACTATGCAAAATTATATAAGGTTAAACAATGAGGTCGTGGTTGGAGGGGGAGGCTAAGAGGGATGGTGTTGGACAAAGAAACTCACAGCACGAACGCCACTGAGGTCGGCTCCTTGCCATATCAGCAAGTGTGTCCAACCAAACGTGTTCATCGTCTTTCGGACCCCAACCAGGGAGCCGAGACGCTCCAACCGAGGCCAGCTCAGAAGTGAGGGCCTTCATTCTTCTGGACCAAGTCATCACTTGGTCACCCCTCCTCTTCTTCCATCCACACCCCGGCGTGCAAACAACACACGTCGCGGGAGTCGGTGGGCTGGCATGCGTAACACGTGGCCGAGCCATCGGAGCCTGATGCGTGAAATAACGGTGCTGAGCGGTTCAGTTTCTTTTCCTGTGCCATAAACAAGGCGTCGGACGCGTTCGTTGCTCACGCGGTGTTCCCACCAGATGTGAGCTAAATTACGAAGGCACCGGTGGACAATGACGATCGAACGGTGAGTTGTGGAGAGAAAGTGAAGAGAAATGTTAATTGTGGCTCCGTGACCAGGAGATCGGTAGAAGTATAACACTGATAATCCGGAAGCCACAAATTCCTCCACACTAGAACTTGACCGATCATTGTAGCAGCGCACCTCGTAGCCCTTTTCGGTAAGCTGGCGTAAATATGCCAGTTTGGTAAAAGCATTAGAATTTACTGACACATTGTGCTGACCGTTCTGAGGTATCAAAATAAAGCAGTTACTTAACTGCATAGCCTAATCATGTTATAAGCTACTTGTTATTGTGAAGAACCTATGTCCCCACAACAGCTTCATTCTCATAGGCCTAATGTTGGTGATGACATTTTATTTAGGATCGTGGAATTATTCCCGGAATCAAAGTGGACAAGGGTACTGTGTCCTTACCAGGCACTCCTGAAGAATACACAACCCAAGGCCTCGACGGACTCGGTGACCGTTGTGCGCAATATAAGAAGGATGGATGTCACTTCGCTAAGTGGCGCTGTGTGTTAAAAATCTCCGATCGCACACCAAGTTATTTAGCAATGAAAGAGAACGCGGACGTCTTGGCGAGATATGCGGTGATTTGTCAGCAGGTTAGTAACATTATCCGATTTTTCAAGCGTTTCGCCTCATTGAACTGTTCGTTGCCGGACTTTGAATATTTGAAGCAACTTCAGGTATAACTTAGCGTCTTTAGGCCTCACCGTATCCACAACCTAAATGATAGCATGCTTAATCACGGCGAAGCAAACTAATGCGCTATGTCGGCTTTCACAACCAAAGTACTGGGGTGTGATGCTTCGAGACCATTTGTCTGGTATGAGCAATAATACGGTTACCCATCGTTTAGAAGAAGATGATTGGCTTGAGCTCTTAGCTGTCAGTGTTCGAGTGTTCATTTGCCTTTGTCTTGTTTCCGGAAACTTTAGAATAAGAAGGCAATGTTTCTCAAGGACCCACGCTTGGGCCCGGAACGTTGTTCACTCATAACGGATGGTAAGCTACCGTATCTGATTATAATGCCAGACTTTTCGTAAACATGCAATAAGGAACTTTTCTCTCCTTCTTTGAAGCACCTCCGACAAATCAGTTAACGTCAGTACCTCTCTAGTCTGGTAGCGCATCCACTTTATTGAACTTTCGACTGTATATATGGTAGAGCTAAAACAAAAGCTTAACTAATGGTACGTTACCCATCAATCATGCGTCTTGTTTAGGTCCCAACACATTGCTGTCTGCCCATCTGCTGTAGCGATAACTTGCCATCTCTTGAGCTCACCAGCTCACCCCGGGAATTCAGTTAGGAAAAGCAAGGGTAGGCATGCTTTCGCAATACGCAACTTGTCACATCATACCAGATAGTCATAGTCTAGTTGGGTAAGATGGATGCTGAGCTCCAGATGTTATTAACAAATAAATTCAGCTATTCAATCTATATCGCTACAACTGAGTTCATGCTTTAAAGCCTGTTGAGGAGGCTACAACACACCTGATGAGCGGCTTAATAACATGCACCCACGTCAGGGGTTCCATCCCACTTTAGCGGAATTATTAAAACTTTTGAGGTGCATGACTGAAGCTGACGCATACCATACTAACCTGATACGATTATGTATTGCCCTAACTACATGCGAGTTTCTGTAATAGTAATCCCTGTGGTCTTGGATAGTACCGGGTGATTCTGCGCCGACTTAGCATGACTAATCTCATGTCTATACGTAGAAATTTTTGGTATCCTCTGGGTCGCATCGTTTGGTGCTTCATCTCTTTTCGGACTTTTCAGCAACATTTGACACACTGCGCTGGGTTCGCACTTTTCCTGCTCTGTTTGACGAGCTCCATTTACAGCCAACGTTCTCTTTGGAATAAGTTCAACAGCTTCTGTTTCTAGTGGGATTAACAAATTTAGATAATTTTCACCATTACTCACGAGCACAAATTCACACCGTTACAATCACCCACACCGGATGTTGACCTCCACCATTATGTAACGAAAACGAAGCCGGGGGGCAGAACATATATTGCCATAAGAAGGTGCCACTGACAACTCACAGACCCGTACAGATTTGGACCGTATATCCTCCCCACGACGCAACGCAATGAGGATTTGTGTGACTGGCAATTCCAGGTGCCTACGAGGTTGGGCTTCGAGACAACCCCTCCAATTTTCCATCCCGTATCTCCGCTTTGCTACATCCGATTCTGGCCTTCCATGAGTCGTACGATAGCTCGCATTTGGTTTTCCGTGGCTGCATCACACGACTTCTGTAGGCTTCGCTAGCCGCCTATTTGTCTGAATCAATGCATTCTCTACAAACACCATCCCCATTGTTCCGGGACCAGACTCGTTACCAGATGCCGCCTGTGAACCGCTCTCGGCTCGATCCGCAATGTTCGCAGAGCCTTGTCTCGTCACATCCATTGCTCCCATTGTTAATTCCCTACAATCCCGTTTTTGTTGTCGTTCCGATGCAAGAGTAGTCACTGGCTTCCGCCGCCCTACAATTAGAATATTTGCACAGATTTCTAACAAGATCTGGTCCGTCTCATTTCATCACGGTGTGAAAGCTACAAATAAAATTAAGTTTTAATTGTGATTAGTTTTCAGTTAGGTGCCTAACAACATTCGCCGCTCTCCATTTCGGTCGGTGCGATCAAACGACCTGCGCGACAGCCGCACACACATTGGGTATACACTAGCTGCTTTACACATGATCTTAAACAAAGAACGGTGAACAGGGACTTTATAAGCGTTAAGATGCCCTACTTCACAAGTCCCGTTGGATGGTCTGGTGGGGATATCGAAAAAAGTCAGTAAAAAGAAGTTAGTCCTCTAGGTATCAAAAGAGGGACATCATTTATTATGCTGCAGTCCTGTACACGTAAGACATAATTAATCCAAGACAACTATCGACAGTAGGAAGTTGTGATAATGCGAAGTAACAAATGTAAATTGATGGGTGCATCAAGGAACCGTCTTTTGAATATGGCTAGTGACTGTGCAGAAACTGCACATTCAAGGAAAGCATTCCAAGGGCGACACTCGCGAATAAAAATGAAGTTTCTGCGGCACTGCAGTCGGCTGTATATTCTCCGGCTTAAGTTTGTGTTGATGCTGAGTTGCAGTACAGAGCGGCATACATGATTTTGATTGTGTAACATGAAATATGCCATTATGAGATCGCCTCGTACCCTACCATACCGTCCCCTGAGTAATCCCAAACTTTTCAAACTTTACTCGCATGAGTTATTGCACATTCTTATGACCCACTTGGAAGCCCGATGTTGAGGTTGGCCCAGTGCAGTGAGGCCGTGCTTTAATGGTGGATTCCAGGCTTGATTTGCGTACCCAATATGGGGACGAAAATACGCATTGAGCATCGGTCAGCAAACGGATATGTCTATTTGTGCGAATACCCTTCGCAACAGAGCAATGTGAACTTACAAGTCTTCGATGCCTTTTGGATTGCCTGGAACAACCCAAAATTTCCTGAAACCACAAATTCAAGTCTCGTCTGACGGAAGATCTTTGCAGCATTTGCGTTCCTAGGCTGTGGCACCATGTATGGAGAGTGCTTTGCGTTTACTGACGTTGGATGGCAATAACATTTGAGTTGACCACTTATATAACGTGTCCAGGTCACGCCGAGGCAGGTCGGCGTTCTCCTTAATCCTGCGCCATATCTTGATGTGAACAGCAAACACTAAGAAATCTAAAGCCGTTGCCTGTGCAAAAATAATAAACAATGTGGCGTAACAACACTTCGCTGCCGCGCGACCACCACCAGTCGCGCGGGGGCGAGGGCGCGCGAGGACGCCAGCCCCTACGCGGATTCGTATAGGTCACCTTATGATTGCAAGCCAGGCGTGCAGACCACTCTGCTACTGGACAATGTGAAGGCAAGTATAAACAACAAATCAATCATGGCCATAGAACTGAGCCTTGCGGTACACCCCACCCGACTTGTATGTGATCAGATAAGGGGCTCCGAACTCTGGCCACTAGTTGTCGTTAACAGGGAAACTTGGTAATCCAGCTTAAGAGGGCGTCACCGATGCCGTAATACTGCGGCTTGGGAAGGAGCATCAAATGATCTAGACGATCGATTGCCCCCGAAAAATCCAGGCAGCTCACATCAACTTCCTGGCCAACGTCAGCTGACTCGGCCCAACTACTCCGTGCATTTAGTAAATTCAATGTGCACAACTGCTGTCGACAGAAGCCGTACTGATCTGGAACAATAATCTTGTAATTTTCCAGACAGCACTCCAGCGTATCCACAGTGGTGGATTCCATGAGCTTGGACAGTACAGGAAAAAGCGATACAGGGCGGTTATTCGGAGGCTCAGTCTTTCTCTCACCTTCGTAATTCGGTTATTATGCCAAGCTTCCACCTGACGGGAACCTAGTTCTGGTCTGAGCAGCGCTGGAAGAACTAGGCCAAAGCTATCTCTTATTGTCTTGTTGCTACTCCCTGTGCACCTGGGGGAATTTTAACAATGCCAGGAGGACGATACTTACGCAGAAACGTGCTCATCTGTAACACATCTTCAGTGGTAAAAGAGATGTAGATGAATCCTAGCGGTGGGGCAACAAATGTTGAAAAATCTCCTGATGTACTCTCTCCTGAAGTACTCTGAAATGTGGGGGAAATATTGTGTCTGAAATGTGGTTGCTGATCCTTTGTCAGTTATTGCTGCACCAACAGCCGCCTAGAGGGGAAAAATCCCTGACTCACCTTACGAAGGTCATTGAAGGGCTTATACAACAGTCCGTGATTAGGACTGAAAGCTTTTGTTATGTTCTGTTGATTTGTGAAGCTGTCTTCTCTGAGCAGTTAGGTGCATTTTTGCGTTGAGATTAGTTGTCCAAAGCATCTGGCGTTGAAGCTAATCCAGACGTAAGCTATGCTACGTTGACTACTGCTATCCAATTTCGAGTTCTGCTCATTACGAGTGACACAGTTTTAGGCCAATGGCAATCTCTTGTCTGAAGATTGTGTAACCAGGTAATTGCAGTTGCTAACGAATTCCTGTCAGATGACTTCCGGGGGTCTTCGGCGAGGAACTTCAGATTTGGCACCGACAAGCTGGGCTATGCCGTCGTGGATTGTGCAATGGGGCTATTCAACCAGAGCAACGAGACGAATTTACATGACGAAGCAAGCGACTAGCTTGCCCCGAGCTAATAAAGGGACTATTGGACGCGTACGCATCTTTGTCCATGCGTTTGTAATAGTCTGAGATGCAAGCAGATTTATTTATTGTGTCTAACACGGCTCACATTACTCTTCGCTGCTCCGGCAGTTTCCGTCGCTGAGTCGATCAAGTAAACACACCTCCGAATCTAAACGTGTGCCAGTACATCGTTACAGTCGGTTCGCCAGTAACTGGTAAGCCCAGAAGCTTGCGCGCTGACAAACTTCAAGATGCTAAAAAGGAAATCGAACACACGCTTGCTCTCAGAATCGTCCGCCTTTCAAATAGCTGCTAGGCATTGCCTCTCCATATGGTGTCTAAAAGGGCTGGTGATTGGCGACCAAGCGTCGATTACCGAGACTTTAACGTCACTGTTCCGGATAAATATCCTATA